ACCTCACCAATGAATTGGAACTAATGTTACCTTAAATTGGGAAGTTCCAAGTTCCAACCTAGAAACTTGAGAAGATTAGGATACTACACATTTTATGAGTTTCCAATTTTCTAGAGCAAAAAATTATATGTAGAGGATAATGCACTGATTTTCCTTCAACAGATTAAAAAGAAAGGAAATAATAACTATACATTTATTTATTTATTTTTCTTTTTCAATACTCACGTTTAATTTTGTTTGTAATTTTTGTTAATTCACTTAACATGATGACTACTATTCTAAAAATCCCCGCCTAGTGCCACCTAGGCGTTAGATGGCTGGCCACCGTCTTGATTAATCCTTAGACGTTTGAAAATTAAGAAAAGACACCTAGACCCGCTTAGGCATCAGCTAGGGTGCCTAGGCGCCTGCCTAGCCCACCCAGACCTGCCTAGATAGCCACCTAGTCGGGACTCTCAATTGGACAAAAATATATGATTTTATTTTGCATTTTATTTTTTTTAATAAATTGTGAAGAAACTTGTTTAATACTTAGATAAACATGCATTATATGCTTATTCCCCATATTTTCATTATGTTTTAATATTTTATAATCTATATGTCATTCTAATTTGCATTTATGTATCCTAATGCAATTATGTATTTCTTTTAAGTATAAAGAAGTATTTATTTATACGATTTATAATAAATTTACTTAAATCCATTTAGGCCCCCGCTAGACTTCTAGGTGCTAGGCCCTAAATCCCCATCTGACTAGAGGCTAGTTTCTTTTAGAACCTTGATGATGACTAAAAATAAAGAGGGTACATGTAAGAGGAGAAAAATGTGGGTATCATTTCTCAAAAAAGAAAAAAATCCTAAAATTAAGAGCGAAAAAGGGAAATAGATTAAAAAAATAAATTATCAAAAGGTTTTCGTCAACCAAATACTACTAAAAGAAAAAATTTAGTTTACAACGAGGTTAAACGCTCAACAGCTTAAGGGATGTCGATAAGCTTGATCAAATAAATTGGACCAAAACAATACGAAGAAATCAAGTTATCCAATTCATCGGCCACAAAATTCACTAATAAATTGAGACATAGTAGACTCATTTAGAATCTAAAGCAGTTGATGCTTTAAGTGGCGAAAAAAAAAATTTATGTTTATGAACTTTGATGCGAGGTTCAATTTAAATCACTTCCCCTTCGTCCTTAACAACTTACCATCTAACCTCATGAACAGTGTCACTCTACTAAAAAGAGTCAACAAAGAAAAATAAAAACAAATATGTTATTCTTAACATTTATTTGTACCATCTCTTTAATAGAGATGAGACGCATAGACCAGCTCTACCTCTATTAAAGAGATAACATAAAAAAGGCAAACTAAAAATTTAATAAAAAAAATAAAAATTTGAACAAGGTTTATTATATTAACACTCCATATTGTTGAATAAACCTCATATACTTAATACATCCCACATTTGCTTTTCAATTGAAAATTATCTTAATACACCTCACATACTTTCCCCTAATACCCTCACACTCCACATTCTCAACATCCACATTACATTTTCTACATACACCCCGTATTTTCTATAATTCCAACATTATCTTATAATACTCATTTGTTTCTTAAATCTCTCCTTGTTCAAAGTTTTCCACATTAGTATCCTTCCCATTAAGAAAACTTTGGAAGTTCTTAGCAGTAAACCCTCCTTTTTATCAACCACAATCACCTGTTGCTCCTCACTTGTGGGCCCAGTTTCGCAGAGAACTGGGAAACCGTGTCCTCCATTGCTCCTTCCAGAATCTCTAAACTCCATTTGGTTGTTCTAACGATTATTTCTGTGAGTACTCGAAGCACTCCAATTCACATCCTTATATAAATATTGGGTAGTATGGTTTCCTGGGGAATCACAAGCAGGTATTGGGGAAGAAAGTAGGGCCTCCTATAAAAAAATTTAAAAAAAATGATTTTGATTCATAGTTAGATGCCCGTTAACATATGTTTGAGAAGATAAATATGATACTTTCATAAAGGTTAATAACCCATAATAAGAGAAAGGGTTTGGGTAAGGAGGCATGCGCATATATGAAAGTGCAGTGAAGGTTTTTAAAGGTACGTAGTTTCATTCGTTAGAGTTTTGTTTAACAGTAAAGGGTGGAAGTGAGAGGGGTTTTGATAGTTGAAAAAGATAAATAATATATTAAAAGTAATTTAGAGTGTATTGAGAAATTTATTACTTTTTCTAAACCTAACAAGATCAAAATTGTCATTACATAATATGATACATATATCATTTAATATAATTGGTCTTAATAAAATAAAAAAGACCTTCGAACAAACGCCAAGGAAATACAAAACCTCAGCCGCCCAGCTTTGCTCCATCATCTTCTTCATCCAACAAAAAAATCCACACACAGACGCATAGACGCTCACCTCTCTCTTTCTCTCTTTCTCTCTCTCTCTCTCTCTCTCTCTCTCTCTCTCTCTCTCTCCGTCTAGGTACGAAAGAAGGGCATGTCGCGCAAAGGAGGAAGTGATTCTTCACTGCCAAAGGACGTGCCTTGGAGGACCTCAAACGTCAAACCCATCCCCAAAATTCACCATTCCCCTCTTCTCCGTATAACCCCCAACCCTACGTCCAATTACGCCCTCTCCGTCATGAAGGTCAGTTTTCTCCCAAACTTTACCCCCATTTTGCTCCTCTAATTACATTGTTCTTTTCGTTTTTTTCTCATCTGGGTCGTCGTGCAATTGTGTAATTTTGCAGCACCCGAATCCAGTCGGAAGTGGGTTGGCCATGGAAGCTATAGTGGAATCCGCTGGACCGGATTGCATTGTCCCAGGACAAGTAGCACCCGTCAAATTACTTGGTCTCAAGGTTGCCTCCTGCTCTTCTTTTTGTATCACTAAAATATATTCATACTTATTTGGTCCAGTAAGCCATTATTTAGCTTTTTAATTCACAAATTTTGACTAATGCTTTTGTGGGTTAGCTTACTTTTTGACCAATTGCTGCTGCCTGTAGGTGGATTGCTATAACTGTTATGCTATCTGAATTTAGAATTTATAATTTAAGTTATGCTAAGTACCTATGCAAATTTAGAATCGAAACATCTGGTACGGGTTGGGGTTTGCCTGTTGTTCTTTTTAATTTGTTTTGCTTTCTTCTCTGTAATGTTCCAACTTTGTAGTATATGCCATTGCTTTATGTTTGAATTGGGTGTCTTTTTTTGATGTTATTCGTAAGTTTATTACTTTCTTCAAACGCTTGCAATTTCTGCGTACACTAATTAGTTCTGCTTTTCCGGAGGCGTATTTTGCGGCGACGTGTCTACTTTTACTAGGACAGTGCCTGTGCTTGATTGTCTGTTTCACAGTTGCGGTTTGGTTCTTCGATTTGCTTATTGTGCATGTGCAATAGATATATGATATATCAAGTTTTTACTTTATACTTATCAATTATCTGTGCACCTGGTCTATTGTTCTTCTTAGTTATTATTGTTTTAATTGAATATTTGTTTTTCTTGCAGGTATGGCCTATTGAAGTTAACCTGAAATTTTTGGAACCAGTAGGGCGAGAGCTGAAGCAGCTTGGAAAGGTAAATTCTATGTTTCAGATCAGTTTTCCTCTCGGAGTTAGCATTCTTGAATAGATAATGAAAGTAGATAGCTTTAGAAGAAAAAGAAATAAAAATACATAAAATAAAGCTGGGAACGATCTTGAGTTATGGTGTTGTCTCCAATATCATGTAATGGAAAGTAGCAAGAATGTCAATAGATTGATACACGTTATTGATAATTCAAGTAATGAAGAGAGATAAGGTGAACATTCTGAGCATAGTAATTCAGAAATGATTTTCCTCAATAGTAAAACCAATCAATGATCTGCTGAAAATGATATGATGCCAAGAAACAAATGAGTGCTTTTAGGTCGAATCGATTGGAAGTGTAGAAATGTTCTTGCACAGAACCATAATGAAATTTACTATTGGATACATTAGCATCTTTAGTTCTTGCTACATATCTTCTGTGTTTAGGGTTTGTAAGAATTTATCAGCTTCTATTTTCAAGCTGTGGCCTAGGTTTTGCAGACCTGCTTTTCCCCAAAACTGATGATTTTTCTATGAATTTGAAGGAGGTTGGGTTTCAGTTATATCTGATTGACTTGCTTTTCCCAAAAACTGATGATATTTGTATGAATTGGAAAATTTGTAGCTCAGAATTAAGACTTCTCTGTACCCTTTAAGTTTTTTTCTTTTACTTGTCCTGAAAGTGAATAAGTAAGGATAAATTTATTACCTCAACACTTTCTTTGTGGTCACGGTTCTAGAATGTAACTTCCACCATTGTTGATAATAAATTGTTACTTTTGTTTGATACTTGTCCAGTACTCACTGGCAGAACAGTTTGTGCTTTCATACACAAAACATGAAAGTCCACAGTTCCAGAGGTCTTAATAATTAATACATTGATCATGTCTCTAATGCAGTTCATGGATGATGCTGTCAATCTCATGAATAAATCATTTATAGATCGCTAGGTCATTGATTTCGTGGTATCAAGAGGATAGGTAATTGCAGTCAGCAGAAGCCTAACCAGGAAGAATGACTTATTATGTGGTCTCCACTCTCCACTTGTGTTGTCTTTGCTTGTGCTGCGGTTTAGGCGTATGTAGTTGTTAGTATCTAAGATCAGAAGCGGGAGGTTTCTTATTTTGTATTGTGGCATGAAGAGTTTTCTTTTACATGTTATTCCCCCCCCCCCGCCATATATACAGTTTTCCTGTTCAGTATGTGACTTTAATAGTTGAATTTAAATAATATGAGTCTTGGAGAATGTCTAGTTATATTTGAAAGCTTTGTCTTCCCTGTACATATAGCACATAAATGCATATGTAGAAGTCAAGTTCAATGACTAGGATTGGATATATTAACTTACGAGATTTGAGGTTTATTGATTCTTTGACTAGGATTGGATATATTAACGTGCGAAATTTGAGGTTTATTGATGTCAGAGATGAATGCCAAGTTTGCCAACTTCTATCTTTTGTCGAAGGTCAAGACATTAGATGGATTGGTTATAAGGTGTCAACCATTTGTAGTTGTGAGAGGGATAAGTTTCGTTCGTTACCAAACCATCTTTTACTTTCGACTTGGACAAAATTGGGAAGCTGGCATCCATTTCTTCATTCAACATACCTGAATCTAATGAGTTAATATATCCAATCCAATGTAATTCTTGGCACCAAACTTGTGGTCATGAAGCATATACCTGTGCTTGGATTAGAAGGGATATATTTCCTTCAATTCCCTCATTAATAAAATCATTCACATCTACCTTTAACCTTGAAACTTATTTGTTGCCCACTCCATTCCAATCCCAGGCACCAAATGAACCCTAAGTTCAAGGTAGGTTGCAGAAGGGATAATTGAGCCCTAAATGTAAGGTACAGTAGTACCATCAACACTGGTTTTGGATACTAATACCATACAAATATCTTCGGTTTGGTAAAATTAACGTATCATTCCTGTTTTGGCACAAAATTGGTATGGTAATGGTATGGTTCGGTATAATGGCTAAAAATTCCACTCCTCCGCAGCCAGTCCAAACTTCTCTCCAGATATGCAAATGCAAAGTGTCCATAATATCTTTTAATCCAATCAAAATATTTGCTTCCCCAGGCTACCTTCCTAAACATTATCTCTTTATCCCTTCCCTTTTCTCCCTATTAATCATATATTATATGAATAATATGATTAATAGACAGAGACAAAATGGCTAGAGACAAAAAATGTGATGCATAAAAAAGGGAGAGAGAAGTAGAATCATCAACTGTTCATCTTCCTGGATGACCTAATTTGTTGCCTTAACTGGATGAGTTTATGTAAGCCAAAGCCAGTGGTGGAGTTCCCACAAACTAGTGGAGTTTATGTAAGAGGTCTCATTTTTCCCTTTTCCCCAACTCTTTTGCCACCCGGTTCTGTATATAAGGGTTTAGCTTCTCTTGGTTTGTCACACCAATGATGACTTGTCAAGCAGCCATGGATGGAGAGAAACTGCGTAAAGGTCCGTGGCTCGAAGAGGAAGATGAACGACTCACCACCGTTGTAAACCTTAAGGGGAATCGGAGGTGGGATGCATTAGCGAAGGAATCAGGTAAGCACATTACATATGATTTTTACGTGTGAAGTTTAAAGATGACTCACTTCATATGTAGTGAACGGATAAATTCAGATGCGGTTTACATCATGCAGGTCTAAGGAGGAGTGGTAGGAGTTGCAGGATGCGGTGGTTGAACTATCTCCGCCCAAACATTAAGCATGGCCAGATTACCATCATAGAAGAGAAAACCATTCTCCAACTTCATCAACGTTGGGGTAACAAGTGAGTTTTGTAGTTGTTGTCTTTGGTAATACCTTTTCAAGTTTGCGAGATTATTACCTTCTTGCTACATCACTAGCACTATCACCTAGCTTAAGTGCATAATGCTGTAGTGTTCTGAGTTTGTTCTAACTATATCACTACATCAATCTTATAGGTGGTCGAAGATTGCCCGAGCGCTGCCAGGAAGAACCGATAATGAGATCAAGAATTACTGGAGAACTCATTTAAAGAAGAAAACACAGATTCCAGATGGTATATTGTGCTTCCATCATTTTCTTCTGATTTCTGACATATTTTGTGAAAAATGCCAAGGCTTGTTCTTCAAAGTGCTTGCTCCACATTACTAACAATTGCTCTGTCTGCAGGAAATTTCCAATGTACATTGAACAAAAACGGACGAGGTCTTTTCTGCCAGGAAGGTGATATGAATAATGAAAAATACGACTTCGATCAAGACCATGACTCCGTTAAGAATTCATGGGAAACCAAGGTTACTAGCTCTGATGATCTTGGTTTATCAGACTTTGCAGTGACAAATTCTCCATATGAAACCCAGTTATCAGATTGGATATCTGAGCTATCAAGTGAACAAAATGGAACAGCCTATAATCAGGACTGTAATAGCGTCGAGTCCGATTTATGTCATCTGACATGGACTCCGGATGATAGTGATACATGGGACTGTCCAAGTTTTCTCTGGGACATGAATTAACAGAAACTCAATAGTGTGAAATGTGGATCGAATGAACGTCAAAGAATCTTACTACAATGCATGTTGCTAAGAAAAATGGAATTTTTTCCTTTCCAGCTCCATCAAGTGAAGTTTTGGCATATCTTCTGGGAAGCAAATACGGCAGCTGATGATGGCTTAACAAATATTCTTGGGACAAAGTAAGGAGGGTGAATAGCTTTTGTACGCTCGTCTACCTAGAACAGTAGGATCTACTTCGATAAGTTTGGTAGAGTTCACCGTAATGTACTTGATGAAGCTTTTCGAAGCTGTAATTTGTAATGGCATGCATTGGATGTACAATCATCTAAGTTAAATTTAAATTGTTTTCCCTCGTCTTCTCTCTAAGCTGTTAAAGCGTAGCGAAAACGATTCAATGAACACCAAACAAAGCAATATTACAATCCTTTCAAGGCCCCACTTGCCTCCTTATATATAAGGAGTCATTTCTCTTTACATGACAATGTGATATCATTTCACCTTACAAATGTTATAATATGAACTAAGTGACATTATTTCACCACTGTAAAAACTTTGTATTCAAACTGTTTATTCTCTTTATCATCATCCAATGATCATCTCTAGAAAACTTCATTTAGCTTAGAGACCATTTTAGTTGTTCATATGAATCAAACAAGTTGACAATTAATTATAAGAATACTAGCCTTCATGCACGCGCTCAAACGCGTGCAAAAGACATTTTTTGAATCACAGCGTGTTATGCGCGACTTACATGTTTTAAATGTATTTTTATGCATAAATTAACAAAAGGAAAGTCAAATATTTGAAGTAAATGAATAATCTTAGATCGTGCTAGAAGAAACCCCTCATAAACCAATTAAAGCAACTGAATTTACATAATAAAATCGGTCTCTATAGAATTTACATTAAGAATAGAGAAAATAATATTTAATAAACAATTGATTGAATCACATTATTGCTAGCCCATTGTGAGGCTAAGCCCACCCCATCTCCCCCTTAGTGTAGATAATATCGTTTGTTAAAAAAAAAAAAAATCATTTGACAACTAATTTAATCGCATTATTATCCGCATGCAAAAAACTTTTTTATAACCGGTATTACATGCCTCTTAAGATGTTTTGAATGTGTTTAAAAATAAAGAAGATAATATTTAATAAACAACTAATAGAATCATATTATTGCTAGCCAATTGTGAGACTAAGCCCACCATCCTTCTCTTAATGTAGATAATATCGTTTGTTAACAAAAAGAATCATTTGACAACTAATTTAATCACATTATTATTTGCGTGCGAAAGACCTTTATAACTGGCATTACACGCCTCTTATGATGCTTTGAATGTGTTTAAAAATAGAGAAAATAATATTTAATAAACAACTGATTGAATCATATTATTGCTAGCTTATTGTGAGGCTAAGCCCACCCCCTCCCCCTTAGTGTAGATAATATCGTTTGTTAAAAAAAAAAAACAATCACTTGACAACTAATTTAATCACATTATTATCTGCGTGGGAAATATCTTTTTTTATAACCGGCAATACACGCGTCTTAAGATGTTTTGAACGTGTTTTAAAATGGGAAATTGAATCACATTATTGCTAGCCTATTGTGAGGTACTAATTAAAAAAAAAGCACCAAAAAACAAATTAAAATGACGAAGATATTTTTTGAATCACGGCGTACTACGCGTGACTTACGTGTTTTAAATGTATTTACATGCGTAAAAAGGAAAGTCAAATATTTGAAGTAAATGAATAATCTTATATCATGCTAGAAGAAATCCCTCATAAATCAATTAAAGCAGCTGATTTCACATAATAAAATCGGTCTCTATAGAATTTACATTAAGAATAGAGAAAATAATATTTAATAAACAATTGATTGAATCATATTATTGCTAGCCCACCCACCCCCTTCTTCTTAGTGTAGATAATATCGTTTGTTAAAAAAAAAAAATCATTTGACAACTAATTTAATCACATTATTATCTGCGTCCGAAAAACCTTTTTTATAACCAGCATTACACATCTCTTATGATGTTTTGAACGTATTTAAAAATAGAGAAAATAATATTTAATAAACAATTGATTGAATCATGGTATTGCTAGCCTATTATGAGGTTAAGCCCACCCTTCTCCCCCTTAGTGTAGATAATATCGTTTGTTAAAAAAAAACAATCATTTGACAACTAATTTAATGTAATTTAATTACATTATTATCCACATGCGAAAGACCTTTTTTATAACCGACATTACACGTCTCTTAAGATGTTTTGAACGTGTTTAAAAATAGAGAAAATAATATTTAATAATCAACTGGTTGAATTCACATTATTGCTAGCCCATTGTGAGGCTAAGCCCTCTCCATCCTCCTTAGTGTAAATAATATCGTTTGTTAGAAAAAAAGTCAATCATTTGTCAACTAATTTATTACACATCTCTTAAGATGTTTTGAACGTGTTTAAAAATAGAGAAAAATTGAATCACATTATTACTAGCCTATTGTGAGGTAATAATTAAAAAAAATGACAAAAAGATTCATTATTTTAGAAAATACTATTAAAATGATGAAATTACCCCTACCTTACTTGATGCATTATTTTGGGATGCCTTTGAAGTTTTTTTATCTTGGGGGCATTTTTGTCCAAATATTTTTTGTTGAAGCTTGGTTACACCAAAAGAGTGATGTTATTACCACCCCAATGTCTTATCTTCTGACCCACCTTTTAATGAATTTTTTAATTACAAATTTGTCCATTTACAAAAAGATTGTTAAGGACATTAATTATCTTGTTTTGCTTAATTTAAAAAAAAAAAAAAAACACAGGTTGGGCATGGGGGACAATTTGTCTACCTTAAATCCTAACTCATATTTTCATCTCCTTTCATTCAGAGAAAGTAAAAAAATAGCAATGGACTTAGAATATGACTTTTTCATTGAACAGGTAGAAGATGACGCTTATATGGAAAAGTTAGAAGATTATGTTTCCATTGAAAAGGTAGAAGAATAATTTGTGTGTAGATCATTTGAATTTGTCCATCGTATTTTTAAAAGAAAAACTAATGAAAAGGGCTTGAAAACTTTGAGTTTTAATGATAATGACAAAATAAAGGGTAAAGTGAATAGTACCAGGATTGACTTTTTAGTGTAAAAATGTGGTTTTTCGTTAAAGTGAACAGTACCAGGTGCTTTTCGTTAAAGTTCCCATTTTTAAATTTGTCATTGTTGAATTCTTTTGAATTTGGATACATATGTCGTTTCTATTTGAATTTGCAAACTTTAGTGGTTTTCATTTACATATTATTTGTTATATTTTTTAAGAGACAATTTTATAATTTCATATGTACGTATGTATTAAAGGTTATATTGGGAATAATAGGGAGTGGGAAAATAGCATTTTAATTTTTTAACTTTTTAAGGTGGGTGGGATTATAACGTGGGTGGGAAAATAAGACAATGGGGTGAGTTCAGTAGCTCTCCACCAAAATTACCATTCACTTTTCCATTGGCTTGCTACGTGTGATTTACACGTTTTAAATGTATTTATATGCGTAAATTGACAAAAGGAAAGTCAAATATTTGAAGTAAATGAATAATCTTAGATCATGCTAGAAGAATCCCTCATAAACTAATTAAAATGGCTGAATTCACATAATAAAATCGGTCTTTATAGAATTTACATTAAGAATGGAGAAAATAATATTTAATAAATAATTGATTGAATCACATTATTATTAGCCCATTGTGAGGCTAAGCCTAGCCCCTCTCACTTAGTGTAGATAATATTGTTTGTTATAAAAAAAAACAATCATTTGACAACTAATTTAAACACATTAGTATCCGCGTGCGAAATACTTTTTTTTTTATAACCGGCATTACATGACACACCCTGACCTAGATCGAGGCATGCTGACCATCACGTGAAGATGACGTAGCCATGTGCACAGTACGGAAGCAATGAAGATATAAGAAATGCAAATAAATAAAAGCCAACTAACTAGAGTACTAGATAAGATAAGGTGCAAGTGCGACATTAAGAGAGTTCACAATTAGAGCATAAGTAGCCTAAGTGCAGTCCAGTAGGATGAATACTAATTATTCAACACCAAAGATAATCCTACATTGGTGATAATCTGTCAGAGCTACCGTGAATTCCTTGTAAGCCACCGACAAACAATCCTAACTAGAACCTGGAGGGGTGCAAAACAGAAAGTATGAGTGGGCAAAAATAAAGCTTTTCAAAACCATTTCATTTATCAAAAGTTTTAACCCCTCGCCATAAAACCTGTATAATTTCCCAGAAAATAGAATATATCCATATCTCAAAACCATGCTCAGAAAATGATAATCATAAGTATGCCATGCCAAATATCTCAAAATATCAGAATAAGTAACTTGAGTGAAATAACATATCAGCTGGATCCACCTAAAGTGGCATGTACGGCTGAATCTATAGCTTAACAAGTATGCCTGCACATGAGTTGGAACAACCTAAGGTGGTTTGTATGACAGGACTGTGTGTAAATAAATAAATATGCTCTAGTGCTACGATCACGTGAAGACTGTGCAAATAATCGTGGGTCACCTACGAGTCGGAACCACCTATAATGGTTTGTATGACAGGACTGTGCACCTAACTTGGATCCAAGATGAGGGTATGGTGCGGGAGGTAAACATCACGTGAAGGCCTGTGCCCTAGTCACGGGCGAGAGCACTAACACCGGGGTGCAGGTTTATAAATTCTCAACACATCTCACATCATCATCAAATCACATATAAACAGTCTACAACTTACCTAGTACTTACTTGAATGTCCACATCGTCAAATCACATTTATGCATACTATACTAATTCATACTCTAAGTATAAATCAATATGCATGGCATTTCAAAACATAATTTCATTAAACGAATTTTCTGGGAAAAATACCAAGTATATAAGTATATACAGAAAACCAAAAGCCCACTCATTGATATGTGGAAGGGTCATAACCCCCGAGCCTTGCTTGACTGCGTTCGTCCTCAGGATAGGTGATGTGATAAAAGTTAAGCTCTCAAATTAAACCCTCTTGTTGTCAAATTGTAGTATAAATGCAAGTAGGGATCGTTCTAAATCGGGGATTAGGAGGGCTTGCTAAAACCTCTAAACTGACTAAAAAACATAAAAAACAAAGTTAAAAACGTTTGAATAGACTCAAAGGACTCAAAACAGGTTCACAGGACTCAAAACAACTTAAAAACACTCAAAACTGCCTAGAAACACCAACTAGGTAGTTTCTGATTCTAAACACAACTTTGGACGAATTTGGGGTTTTGGCTTGACTCAAAACACTTAAAAACACAAATGAAAACAATTTCTAACTAATA